TCCCTCCCTGGTCCCTCCCTGGATGCTGCTGATGAACTACAAGCACTGCCTCCTCCGATTTAGGGGATTGGGCTCTTTTCCCTCCCTGGTCCCTCTCTGGATGCTGGTTGTTGCCGACAGTTTTTGCTGCTTCTTTAGTTTCAGTGAAAATCTGGACTGATTTTCTGTTTCTGGTACAAAATCGCTGTAGGATCCTACGGCAAAACTTGGAATCAAGGCACTAGACTGCTAAAATTTGCTAAAATCTGAATTTTTTTTCTAGTACATTATTCTACTGCAAAATCTACGTATCCTCACTATTTGGTTCAGTTGGCTCCACGGCAAGCTTTAGCTCCACGATACAGCACAATACAAGAATACACGATACTGATACACTCCTCCTCCTCCTCAACTACATGATCACGCATGGTGCATTTCTATTCCTTGTGATCTCTTCGCGAATCTTGCTGATACTCAACTCAAGACGCATATGAATCTGCTCCATTTTGTGAGTTAGCTCGCGTTTGACTGCTGTCAAGTCTTCCTGGAGGATGCACGTTGTCGTTGGTGACGACTCTAACTTCCGTTTGCTCTCAACGAGGTCATCATTCACTTTGTCGAGCTCATCTTCAAGCTCAGCAACTTCATCAGCATGGGCGTCTCTTATGTCCTTGAGTTTTTGTTCGTGTTCCTGAATGGTGGCCTCAAGGTCGTGAACAATAGTGGTCAGCTGGGCATTGCCATCCTTGATTTGCTTGATTTCCATTCGATGCTGCTTCTTAGCTTCCTTGCTTGCTTCCTTAAAGCTGCTCTTCCTTTTTTTTGCTTTCTTCTTGAGCTCTTCAATTTCTTTTTTGAGAGCAAGCTTGTTTGTTGGAGAAGACCGCAGCACTGATTCCCCCTCGTTCCCAAGCGCCGCTGCTGGTGACGGTGCAGTGTTTTCCTTGTTGTTACAACGACTGGTTCTTGCAATCGACACACCATCACGGAGAGCTGTTTGAAGCTGATTTTGAATCGTTGAGTTATCATGAATATATGGCTCTGCCGACTTGGCATTCTTATGCCTGACATGATTCATCCTCATCTTGTCAGTAACATTCTCATTAGACGCGAGGGCTGTAATGCATCGATGCCGGTTATCATGAGGAGTGACCTTGTTGCAATCAGTGAAGCCTGCAACCTTGGCGAACTCTTTGATCCACTCGCGGATAGGATCCCCCCCCAACCTGCGAGTTAGGTCTGTAATGATATGGGTTGCCTTTCCTCCTTTTGTGGTTCACATAACAGAAGAAGCGCTTCTGATGCGGACTGCAAAGGCTGCGATAGTGGAAGATTAGTTTCACGATACAGTACTTATTATCCTGTTGCTCCATTACCATTGGCTTTTGTGTATTCACAGTTGGATGAAGAACTGATATCTTGTTTGCTTTATCATCCCCTCCACAAGGGGAAATAGTTATGTGTCGTAGTCCCTTGTTTACTCCACAGTCATACGTACCAAGGCTCACGTCACTCCACTTCAAGAATACTAGCTCCGTTTTCCCCCGAAGACCAAACTGTCTTCCAAGCTCCATTGCAATCACCTTCATTAGATTGAGATCATCATCAAAAGGCTTGTAGGTTCCATCTTCAAGCTTGGAGAGATACTTCTGGTCCCCGTGCTCATCAAACTTCGCTTTGTTCCTCTTTGTTCCAAGGGACGGATCAGCGACCCTCTTCCGATTCCAATCTTCTTTGCATACACCCAAGAAGCCTCCCTTTCCATTGAAGTCACTACTCTTGTATTGAACACCTCTTGCTGCAAGTGCAGTGAACACATACTTGATATACGTAGCATGCGTCGATGTATCAAGTGGCTGGTCGTTTCCGCCTCCTCCTCGCACTCTCATCTTCTTGATATTCAGTGTCCAAATACAAAGAGCTTGATTTGCAATCTGCTTTTTAAAGGGCTCTGGTTCCCCTCCAATAACAGCTTAGAACTCAAGGTCTTGTCTCAGTCCATCCGGTAGATCAACCTTGTTGGTGAAGTATTTGTGGAGCTGGACGTCGCCGGGATCATTCCCCCGTGGAGCTGTTGCGTCTCTTACGATTTCCTCAAAGTGGCGATGTACTGAAGCAACTCTTTTTGAATAGCTGTCAGTGGTTGAAGTTGCTTCTTTTACAGTGTGTGCATGTTTCGTTCCAAAAGTATTTGCGTGGTTGGGATTATCGAAGATCTTCTTTGCATACGCTCTTGCTGCTTCCCGCTTCCTTCTGGCAGAATCTTCTTCTTGTCGTCGTACATATGGATTGACAATTTGTTTTTCTTGCTGATCTTCTTGGTGGTGTGGTGGTGCTTCCTCTTGTTCTTGTTGTTCTTCTTGTGGAGGAGGGGGGGGGGGAAGAATGTCCCCTGGCTCAATCGATACTCGTGGTGGACGAACTGCTTCTCCATTGTCAGGCGCAAGCAAAATTGACGATTCCTTGTTAGTAATAGGAGTGTCGTCAGACCGAAGGCGTTCTTCTATGTAGCTACGTCTTGCAAAGCATATCATTGCATCAGCTCCATCCTGAGTCAACAATCCCCTGCTTTTACTAGTAGCGTTACTGTCGATGACGCCATCAGCAGCTGCAGCATGATGATGATTGTTGCTATTGCTGCTCCGCATGCTTCTCTGTGACAGTCCTAATTCAGGTGGTGGCTCATCGAATATCGCGTTTGAGTCGAAGGGACTGTTCTTATCTCTTCGATGGGTCATGATTACTGATTACTGATTACTGATTACTGCAGCTGCTTGTGCTGTTCTTGTTGCTTCCTTGAGCACTGCTTTATTTAGTGTACTGTTTGCTATTTTTATCTTTGCGTACTCAAAATATCAATTAAAAATATCAATTCAATTTGATTACTGCTTCTCTGTCGACGCAAACAAACTTGATGCCAACAGCTGTCAGTAGGATTTGTACAGCTGCTTTCCTGATTACCAATTTTGATTACTAATTTTGTTGAGTAATCAGTCATCTGGTTGAGCTGCAATTTAAATTGTTGAAATATAACACGCATTTCTTAGCAACTGGTTACTCAACTTTTTTGGTAACGCGCAGTAATTTATCGCGCGGTTACAAGGCAAAAACTGAGTAAACAGGCTGTTACATACCACTCGTAGATATGTTATATAACTGTGGAGGAGCTCGCGCAGCGCGTGTACCCAAAACGTTAAGCTCGAGAACCCAGGTACAAAAACTCTTCCCACACAAATAACACGGACCTCAACAGAGTACATTTTCTGGTACGTTTTGGGTACACCAGTAACATCACTGAGATCGAGAGCTTTAGCTCGAGATCGAAGTGAGGTTACTGCAAGTACTTTCTTCAGCAACACCACCAACAAGCTTGAGAGCTTTAGCTCGAGAGCTTGTTGTTGGTGTTGCTGAAGAAAGTACTTGTTGGGCTGAAGCGGAGCTCTTCCACAGTTATTTACGTAACCGTTGAAGCAGCTCAACATTTTCATGTACTCAGCCAACCGCTGATACGGAGGACACTGATATGGAGGAGCTGCTGCTGATACGATACAGCCGAGGAGCCGCTGATACGATACGGAGGACGGAGGAGCCGCTGATACGATACAGAGGACGGAGGAGCCGCTGATACGATACAGAGGACAGAGGAGCCGCTGATACGATACGAGTTGCTGATACCGAGCCACTGATACAATACGAGTTGCTGAAACGGAGGAGCCGCTGATACAATGCGGAGGACGCTGATACGATACGGAGGAGCCAGCGCTGATGCGATACGGCGGAGGAGCTGCTGATACGATACGAGTTGCTGATACGGAGGACGCTGATAGTACGATACGGCTTTCTCCTGGTGTTTTGCTTGTTTCCCCCTGCATATCAATTTTTCTACGGTGTTTTCTACATGAGTTTGTAATGGAATAGCAATCAAGATCAGATACTGTACAATTACTGATACTACGTATTCACAGTAGTGAAGACAGTTTTTTAGTTTGTACCTGTTGAGGTGCAAATTCCTGGTTACAAGCGCACAGTGCGAACCAGTGCGCCTGTTTTTGTAACCAGACCCTTTTTTTTTGTAACCAGACTAGCAGTAGTAATCGTGTAAAAATATGGGCTCTCCTTAAGGAAGGGTTTGGTTACAAATTCTGGTTACAAAATTCAGTCCGCGCGTTTTGTAACCTGTTGAGGTGCATGTACTTAGGCAAAAAATAACTAGTGTTTGTACGGCGCGAGCTGCTCAACAAATCGTGTACCTAAAAAATACCACGCGAGCTGAGTACATGAAAATGTTGAGCTGCTCAACGGTTACGGTATGATGTGAACCTATTTCTGGCCATCGGGCGTCGCAATTCGGGATCATTTCTACGCGTGGTACGTACTCGTACCATACGTCAAGGATACGAGAAGGAGTAGGAGTACTTAATGTTAGTATCTACTGCTAATACCGGTAGAACTGCTTGTAAAGAGTACTTCTAGTAATACTACTAGTAATAATGTACGAAGCGTTCAGACTACTATCACGGCAGTACTCTAGAAGTACTTTTTTAAAAACACCAAAACAACTATTCAAAGGTGGAGTAGTAAGATAAACTGAACAAGAACAAGAAGGAATTTCGTTTTTGAAAAAAGTGCTTCTCCTCCTCTTTCATCTTTATTTCCTGTTTTTGCTTCTGCTATTTTTTGCCTGCCAACGAGAACTTTCCTCTCACTAGAGTCTAGATATGGTTGTTTTTCCTAACAATAAGTATATGTATCTTAATGTTGCTTTCTTTCAATTATAGCGGSCCACGAAAGAATTGTTTGGTTCTTGCGCTCCCCATACTGAACTTACTATCTTCGACCATCTTGGTCTTTACCTTCGTTATCGTCATCTTGGCCGGCATCATCGCCTTCGTCCTCGTCTTCGTCATTGTCGTAGTCGTCATTGTCGGTCCTAGGGGCAAACATTGGTGCGGCTGCTTCCGTGATAAAAGTGTATTCGCTTTTTCCAACGTACAGAAAGAATGCAGACGCTARCGCAATGGGTGGCCACAAGAATGTTGGAGATTTCTCGAAGAGTTCAAGGACCACCAGCACGCAGAACAGCGCTAGACTCAGCGAAAAGGCCTGGAAACCGCGGAAGCGCTGCAGACCAGTGTTGTCTAGAAACACAAAGTATTCGTCGTCCCGGCTCATGCCCAAGGCAGTCCTCCCGTAGAGAACTGTCAGCGAAAAGATCACGGCGGCGTAGATGCCGATGAAGGTCGATGTCCCCGCCGTGAGCAGGAGCAATGACACGATCCAATCCTCGGGCGTCAGCGACGCTAGCGAGGTTTTCGAGAGGATTTCGTTCCATTCGGATTGGTAGTCGTTAATCACATCGAAGGAGGACTCGGCTGTCAGCACCGACACTAAAATGTAAGGATCGAATCCATCGAGCCGCATTTCTTGGCGCTCAAGTGGTTCAAGTTCGCCCAGATACCGGGCCACTTTATCGGAGCTGTCATCTTTCTCACCCAAGGCCGATAATGCCGCAGCTCGATCGAATTCATCCTCGCTGATCGTGCCATCGCCGTCGGCGTCAAATAAGTCAAACTTCGTTCGATTGGAGGCTAACATCACTCTCTCTACGCTGCTCTCGGAGTCGACGTCCATCGGCTTGGAGGTTATCTGGTGGGTCTGGGATCCCACCTCGACGCCGTTGACGTCGTTGGGATCGATYACCCCGTTGTTATTGTGGTTGCGGTTCTGATCCATCGTCCCGTTGATGTGGTTGTTGTGGTTGGGATCGATCGCGCCGTCATTGTTGTTCAGGTTGTGGTTGGGATTGATTGACGATTCGTCAAAACTGCCGAGAGGGCGGTGGACGGGGGGCGTTTGGTACAGGTTGGGTTTCGGTCGGTAGGTTTGCGGTTGATATGGGTATTCTTGTTCTAGTTGATGCAGTTCTTCTCGTTCCTTCTGGTTTTGMAGTACAAACCGTGATAGGCTTCGATCAAACTCATCCGGGCTAATCACACCATCCCCATTGTAATCTTTGACTTGCCGCAATAGATACAGTAATTCCTGCGCATCTTCTTTCGACAAGAACGTCCCGTGCTGGTATGTATACTCGCTGATTTCTTGTTTGCTTAGCACCCCATCGCCGTTGGTATCGATTTCGCGAAAGAGTCGGTCAAGCGTTCTTTTCTTGATGCTCTTAAAGACCTTTTTTACACGCCTCATGGGACGGCGGCGTTTCTTGGGCTTCTTCACCTTGCCATAAATGTCGTAGGTGTATTCGTCTTCTTCCTTATTTCTGTTCTTTTTAATCCCGAATAAGACTACCGATTTCCTCGTAGTTGGCATATTTTGCGTTGCTGAAGCCGTCATTGTTGACCCCATTATTGTTCTTTGCGGGACCACCCCAAAAACGATAGGGTTCGCATGATTCCTCACCACAACAGCGACAGACCCGCTGAACGCAAGACATGTGGATAGTAGTGCAAAAGCTGCTATTCTAATCATCACTGTTGTCTGGAGTTGTCCTCCTATTGTCTGTTGAATGAAAATATGATGGGCCCCAAAAGTGTGCTAATTGACTAACACCCGGTAGAGTATTTCGATTATTATCACTGGCGACCATGTCGAATTTTTTCCGTCGCCTCTTTGTAATCCTGCATGCCGTTAAAAAATGTCGTCATCGTCGAACGGGATGACGATGATTCGTCAATTCAATCTTGCACGGTATCATTACTTCCGTCATCTGTAGTCAATTGGGAAGCTGATGATTCGTCGGCATATTCATAAGTATCATTACGTTTGGCTATTGGCTATTAATATCAGGATAGTAATATTTATCAAATTATTGTCGTTAGGGTTAATAAGTATCGTCAAGTCGTGGCCGACCTAATGAACTAAAGCTATTAAAATAAATTATTGCGGGACACTTATCGTTCTACGCTATTTTTTAAAAACGGTTTTCTCAGAGTTGTGTTTCTTATCGCCATACCGTAGTAGAAAGGAACTTCAAATTAAGGTGGAAGAAGGCCGTGAGGAACCGACACTCGCAAGAACCCCTTATCAGTCCTTCGTTTGGGGGATGCAGGGGATGCAAAATGTGGGTCATTTTTCTGATAAAATGACCCAATTTCAAAAACGTGTTTTTTGGGAAATAACCCATATTTTTGGTACTAACCTAAGTTTTTTGAATTACTATATTGGAGATATCATTGGCACCAAAGCAGCCAGTGAAGATGGATCGATGGGATGGCAGCATTTGCCTTCTGGTTGGGGCTACCTGTCGCTACTAGTAGTAGCTACTACTACTAGTAGTATCTCCAGGCTACTAGTAGTAGGTACCCCCCCCCTTCGCTGGCCTGATACTAACAAGAAGAAAGTCTAGTATCTTCCTCCAGATGGAATGCTGGACCTATCTCCAGCTTGTCGTCCTTTATGTGGCAGCTACCTTTCCCTGTCAAGAAGGCCATTGTGGAGGAGGAGGAGTTGCTACCTGCACTGCTTGACAGGAATCATTCTGTTGACACCACAGCTGATCTGCAAGAGGAGTTTCTGGCCTTCCTAGTGAAATTTGCAAGCCTAGTTGCTGGCACACCCGATCCAATTGCTCAAGTCCAGGGACATTGTGACATGTTTGTGGCTGTCACAGAGGACAAGAGAACACTGGAGACAGTGTTTTGAGTCTGTCCAGGCTTCCCTTAACAGCAATCATCTGATTCCAACCCACTCTCACAAATCAGCCTCCTCCTGTCTCATGAATTGCTCTGGGRCCACTGCTGGTGGGGCATGGCTGATGGCCACACCCCACTCATAACCTGGCCATCCCTCTTAGATGAGAAATTATGTGACAGCATCAAATTGCTATTTGGGCTGTGCCCTCACCATCTGCCTGATTGGTGTGATGGGTGCAGCTCCAGTTTCACAATTAAACATGTCATGCAATGCTTCCAAGGTAGACACACCTTATACCACAACAATATTGCCAGAGAATGGCATTGACTATGTGCAGAAGCCCTGAAACCAAGCTTGGTGACTGATGAACCAAGGATACCGTTATCTGAGCCAGCATACAAATCAGGCAATTTGCAGAGAAATTCTCCCCYACCACCAGCAGCAGCATGCAACCTCAGATGTTATATTGCTCTGCATGGTTTCTGGAAAGGGGGCAATACTGCAGTCTTTCATGCCAGAGTCACTGACACAGACTAGTCTTCCTATGACAGGAAGGATTTAATGCAAGTGCTGCTCCAAGTCCAGGAGGAGGAAAAGAAGGACAAGTGCAGTGATGCCTGTCACCAGGCCTATTGTCACTTATTCACTCCTTTTTCTACTACTCTATCGTATAGAGTGGGCCAAGCAAAAAAGCACGGTTTAAACCGTACATTAGCAATTGAATATATACGTAAATGAATATAAGTCAATATTCGTCGTACGCCGTACTCCCCCACGCCATTAGAAAGCTCTTTGAATTCTCTTTTCAACCATGTGCTTATCATACTTAAGCGTCCGTTGGGGAAAAAGTTATGGCTGTTCGAGTGAGTTGAACTTGTCTTAATGCCCTACATGTTTTTTGTACTGTGCGTGGATTAGCTGCCATCTAATTACCGTGTAATGACTCGTGGGATTAAAATTTGACTTGTACGAAGGCTACATTGTGCACGTGCGAGCGAAACTATTTTGGTGGGATTCAAAACTATTTGGTCGCACACTTGTGGGACTCAAAAATTCAGCATGTGCACGGCTGTACACTGCAGTACAAGCCAATTTTTAATCCCACGAGTCGTTACACGGTAATTAGATGGCCACGAATCCAAGGTTTAAACCGTACATTGGCTGGCCAAGCCTATACGATAGATAMATGGAGAGCCCAGCAGAGGCAGTTGCAGCTCAGAAGCAACTTGCATCCAGCAGGCTTGTTTTCAAGTGGGGAAGAAACTACTCTCAAGTATGTGGATTAGTGAGATCTGGAATTGGATTTGTAGTTGCATGAAGAGCTAGTAGTACATGCAGATGCTTGGAGGGCACTCTACTAGATGCCAGATTGAAGTTCAACCAGCCCCTTGATTGGATTTCCCACTCTGGTGTGTGAGTGTATTCATATTAGGAAGCCAGATCCTATCTTGTTTAGTTTTTCCCTAGGATTTTGACTGTTTATTTCCAGCTTGGTTTCCAAGCTCAAAAATGTTGGAGCTTGCTCCAAAATTGGATTGAAAAGCCAGATCTCATCACTATGCTTTTTTGTTAGCATTCAAAGCATGCTTTTGTACTTGATAAATATCTCTTCCAGGTGAAATAAGCTAAATATTTTGGCAAATCCAGCGGTTCTTTTTGTGACATTTCATGACAGTAGTTTCAAGAATACTAGTACAATTTTAACTCAAAAATCTTAATATTATTTAAACTTGTAACATATGAAAAGAGGCAATTAGGAAGGCCTGAATCATCACTTCAAAGGAAGAGCATGCTCCTTTCACCTGCAAAAGATTGCAACCAAAAGAATTGTATAATTCAATGTGCTGCTGTTTCTTTGCCCACAAGCTTCCAGCATTAAGTAGGAAGGTTACTCTTCTTGAACAAGCAATTTTGGCATACTTGTTCTACTGGTGATAATATGGACCACCAGGCTTCTCTCTGTAATTTTTGTTTCTACTACCCAATATTAGTAAAGCAGCCTGCCATGGCTGTTTTTGCACTACAAGTAGTAGTAGTTGTAGTAGTTGTAGTAGTAGTAATACTAGTACTAATAGTACTAATATTAGTCTTAGTCTTATTAGTACTAGCTAGCAATAAATCATGGACTCTTGGGGTGGGTTACTCTAATCTATGCACCACTTGAAGTTCAAGGAAGAATSAAAATGAACAAGCAAGAAGTTGATTTGTGAAATTTTGCAATGCAGTAGTACTTTTGCACAAGAAGTTTTGATGCCATGTAGTACTACTAGTGCATATTTGGTAGAAATACTAGTACTAGTAGTCAGAATAAGTCAAAAACTACCATTTCAAAATTAATGCTGTGACACAAAAACAGAAGGTGAGAGTTAATTGAAGAAACAGCAAGGTAAAGATTCCTTTTAATGTTTCTTATGCAGAGAGATCAAACTCCTGCATTTTAATTGTTAATACTAGAGAGGAGGGACTTGGGGGATCAGTTGGTGCTAGCTAAACAAAAAAAATCAAGCTGAAAATGGCACTTTAATAAGAAATCACTACTGGCCAACTACTGGCAAACTTGAAAAGATCAGAAGTCAGATGAAGTTCAATTTTGTGTTCTTATTACTAGGAATTCTCTTTACTATTGGTGTTTAGTATCAATAACTTGGTAGATTCTCATAAAGAAAATAATACTCGCAGCAGTACTATTTGTAGAACTTCCTCTGTCCAGAAACAAGAAGTGTCTAATTTCCACCTCTACAGTCAAAATAAACTCCACAGTCAATCCAGGCTAGTAGCCTGGATTGACTGTGGAGAAACAGATTTGAATCTTTCCAATCTGGTGGTGAGGATAAAGTTATAGTTGCTGCTGACTTCTTCTTCTTATCAAAGCCTGAAATTTAAAACTTGAATCCCAAGCCACCAGCAATTTCTTGACTTACCAACCTTTAATTTTTACAAAAGCCTTCTTAGTGCTGATAATTTTAAACCTCATAAACTAGTACTGGTAGTAGAACAGACACTAAAAACTAACCACCAGAACAACCATTGGATTGAGAGGATGAACAGYATTCCTAGTAGCTGGTATTGTTCTGAGGGGTAGTGCTCAATGAGCCCAAAGCCAAAGCATTATATTGTTGCTAAATTATTTCTTTGTTAGTACTACTAAGCTTGATTTTAAAATAGCAAAATTTGCTTAGCTAAAAAGCAGTATTCTATCTGCGCTTAAAGAATGTCATCATGCTGGTTGGGGCATAAAAATGATGTAGTAAGAAAGGACTACAAGAATGTATCCAATCCTACTTGTTATGTCAACTAACAACAAATGCTTTTTGATGAGAGGAGTCTAGTACAGTTCAAAAAATTAGGGCTCCAATAACAGTAAGACAAATAGACATACTAGTCCCCATCAGTATGGAAATGTAGTAGTACTTGCATATGGTAATTCTAGATTGTAGGCATTGCTTACTCAGCAGTATGACAGGTAAAAATTTGGAAATCTTTTTTTAGGTTCTAGTCTTGGAATTTGAAAGGGGGTGAAATGTCAGGCTGTGGTCTTGTAGAGTAGTGTAGTAGTAGTACTATGCCACTATGATATTTATTGAAATACTCCTACTACTATGACTACTAGTAGTAGGACTACTAGTGCTAGTACCAGTACTTGTAGGAGTATCATGCATGTCCTAGTCCAAGTAGTACTACTGATGGTATTAGTGTCCTCGAAGCTTCTTCTTCTTCTACTACTACTAGTAGTAGTAGTACTAAACCTTTTGTTGGGTCTAAAGAATTCTGTGTTGTTAACTACTACTACTAGTAGTGGTTGTACTAGTAAGTTTTTGTCTTCTTCTTAGCATAGAGAGGCTTTTATTTTCTTTCTTTGTTACTTTCAGAAGCACCAGCACTAGTATTGGCTAGTAGCTCATCATCCTGATTGAAGAAATTATGTGGGCATCTTCCTTTCCTCCTTCCCCAGTTTTGTAGACAGACCCCTACTTGAATGGCACAGGGAAACAGAACTAATTGCTAAGTGATGATCATACTGCTACTGCTATCCTCTACTACTAGTACTAGAACCACTACTAATACTGCTGGCTAGAATAGTGTATTCACAAGGTCCCTCATGTATTAGTATGACCAATCAGTCATGCCAGCACCACCAGATGTTAAACTCAAAGAAAATACTTCTAGGCCATATTGTTTTTCTTATTGGTGGGCTATGACCACTACTAGTAGTCATTCAGTTGATCATTAACTATAGTGTCTAATAGTAGGGAGTGGTAGTACTACTAGTAATGGTACAAATACTACTAGTAATTACAATGGTTTTATCCATACTGGATTTAATCAATATYAATCAATATCACTACCAACTGTCTTATGCTTTTAAACTGAAAAATATAGATCATTGATCAGATACCAAAATTTACTAGAATCTCTCTGGTGACAAATGAATCATAGCTTGCTTCATCATAATACTCTGATATGTTGGGCTATCCTTTAGTTGCTCTCCTCATTTACTAGTTGTTTTGGGATTTATTGAAATAAAACACTTTCCTCAACACTTGTCCTCACTTTCAAAAAAGGAGAAAATCAAGGGAAAAAGAAGATAGGAGTATTGCCTGCTGGGCCATGTTTTTCTCATTGTTTCTCTTTGTTCAAACAACAAGCAGAAAAAGAGGCACATGGGCTGTACTACTAGTACTATACTCTTTGTTAACAAAATTGTCTTTGCATAAACAAAGAGAATAGTAGTATCCTCATCTGGACACTATCATTTTTCACTTCTTGATGTCTAAACAAAGAGAACCACAGATAATATTGCCTGGGTCCTTTTCTATTTATTTCTCTTAATTTCTCTTGTTCTTTGTTATTTAAAGGACACAGTAGTAGAGAATGATGCCTGCTGTGAGCCATTTGCTCTGTTTCTATTTGTGTTGATTGTTCAATACCATAGTAGGTGCATCCCACATGTTTACTGGCAACTATTTTTTCAAAACCTACTAATTGAGGGTCCTGTAAAACAGAGGTTGTTTTGAAATTTCAAACCAGAAGATTGTACTTGTTCTCTTATATCACTGTTATCTAGTAGAGGTATATTCCTATTCTGCTGTGAGCAAACTTTGCCTTGCAACAAATGCAAATAAAAATTGGGAGGAGGATTGTGCTGGTCACATAAATGGACAATACGCCAAGCTTGGAAATTCTCAGACCAGATATAATTCAGTGTGAACAAAGTCCATGAAATGAAGAGACAAACAAACAGGGTACCCAAGTACCTTGCTCATGCTCTGTAACAGTCTTCACTCAACTTACTGGCATAGAGTTCCCACAATGACGAGTTGTCTTCTAGGAGAGTAAACATAATTGCTTGTAAAAAGTTCTTGTAGATACATAAGAAATAGTGCATTTTGTTACTCTAAATCAAAATTTTATGTTTATGTTACATCACATGAATAATCCATTGCAGTATTCTGCTTCCTCCCAATACGTAATTCAATAAGAATTCTAACATCTTTGAAAGCACGACGTTTGGCTTCTCTTGCAACGTATTCTATCCAAATGGTACAAATCTGTGATCGCCGAGGCAAAGTACTGGATAGCGCACGGTTCGGATTTCTGTGCTAATAGCCATTCCAGATGCCTTCGAAAAAAGAGTAGAATTAAGTAGTTCTCATCATCCTCCATTTAGGACACCGTCGAATAAGTCGCCCAGGTAGACCTTATTGAAAAGTAATTACACAATCTTTTTCGTTACACTTTGTCCGTCAATAGCGCCTGCCTGATTAATGATGCTACTATGTTGGTATTCTCTGTCATAAACCGCTGCATTGTACGGTTTATCCAGTTGTTGTGTGATGACAAATTATTTTGATTGCTGACCCGAATCCAAAGTACTTTCGACGTTTGAATAACCCCTAAAACCCGTTATGTCACCCCACATTAAAWCATGACCCCTCCCAATACTAAAACAACAACCGCTAAGATTATGGAACGTTTATCTTTCTCCACGCAATAACACGGCTTGCAGAACCACCATCATTAGCAAAGAAAATTACCGATACTATTCTTCCTCAGGCAACTCCCGAGGTGTATATATTTCCAAGGATCAAATAAATTGTATTTTTTAGAAATCCGTCCATGTCGATCTGCCATATCGGATCAATCGGAACCGCCCCCTCGGCTGTGGCAATCCGTACATGGTGGTCCACCACAATCATCATGGTCGATAACAACCGGCGCAGACACTGTTGATGCTCAACCGGATTCCTGGTAAGTTTTTTGTGGACCTGGCTTGTGTTATTGAGAATCATCATTTCGAACCGGATGCTCCGTATGGAAGCTGCAAAAGCTGGCGACGCTAGCGGTGGATCCTTCTCGCTTTCGTGGTGCAGGATATTTGCTTGCATTTCATATGTAAGTTTGTACAGTTCCAGGGCCTTGTTGGCCCTCTTGGATCGTTCGGGTGTGGTGTGGGTGCTCAGTGCCATGAGGTGGTTCGTTAGTGCGAGGTTGAACGTTATGACGAGGTAAAGCGCGGGTCCCATGAGATGCCCCTGGCACTCCACTCGGATAGGCTTTCTTGTGAGATAGCTTCCGCCTATGATATAATTGTTTGGTTCGTTTTGATTGTCGTTGGTGCTATCATCTTCGTTGGYGCTTTCATCCTCTTCTCCTAACGATGCCGATACCCTACCCACAACCMTTGACCGTACGATACATCCGTCCAAACTACAATTATGACATGTACACACGCTTTCTCTCGGTGGCTGTTGCCTCCTAGAAAGCGATAGAGCTCGCGTTAGCGACGTTACAGCTCGACTATAAAGTCCAACTTCTATGCACGACGCGGCACTATTGTTCATTTCCTGGGCGAACAATTGGGATCGGAAAGGGGAAGCAGAGAGGGAAGTAAGCGACGACGGCCCAGACGAAGAGGACGGCCGTCCAGGCTGTTGTGGCGGAGAGGCAGCCATTGTTGCCAAAATAGTAGCAGACAACGAAACCCAGTTTTGTTGTTGTGTCGTAATGTATGCTATTCAAGTTAGATACGTTGTGCAAACGATGCTGGACTTGTCATTTTGTTGTAGTCAACTAACTTTTGAAGCACCCGCACGAAGCTTCGGGAAACGAATTCGTCGCATTGGACTCATCGTCAACGTGCACTTTCGTATTGCCTTACCTTTAGGCATTCATTATTTAAAACTGTGGAAAATTATTTGACGTTATGGGCTTGACTACGGGAACGTTCCACTAAAAATTACCGAAGAAATTTCCTTCAGAGACTTCTTTGTTGATGATATTTATAATTATTGAAACCTCTAACATCCGTAAAGCGAGTCAAGAATATTCTTCCCTTCCTAACACTCGTAAGCAAAAGCAGAATGCAGACAAGCTTATCCCTAAAATTGTACATTTCATTCGAATAGCCAACAACAATTAATAGGCGATGGGCTGTGTTACATGGCATCGTAATTTTCTTGCGGAAAATTCTTGGTCATTGGTTTTGTGAACATAACGAAATTTAGTTGTGAGGTATGGTCAACACAAACGTTTGAAAGCGCCTCAAAATAGAAATTGATAAAAAATATCATTCATTAATATCAATCGCTAATAGATGTTTCCGTTGAAGGTTCAAGAGATATCGAAATAAAATATCTTAGAGATATTTTTAGTGTCTAAAGAAAATATCATGAAAGCAAAGAAATTGTGACAGTTGCATTTAAAGAATCGTATGGAATTGTACTATTTCTTATTATTTATTGAGATGTGCATTAAAAGTAGAGTTCCTGGTCGATAAATGACTAATACTATGAATAAGCCTGGGAATAAAAGACAACTGACAATGAAAAAAGAGAATGTTCAATGACGGCTATGTAGTCGTTAAAGGCAACCGTACCATACGTACCGATCCCTCAAAATAATATCACGAGTAGCTAGTGACTAAAAAAGCTCTTTCTTTGGAACACCCTGATACATACCGTACCGTATTGTACTTGTCGAGTACGTACGATACTTGTACAACTCATTTCTGAATCATGCTCATGATTTAGGCTTGCACACATGGACAGCTCTTGTGACTTGTGACCCAAAAAAGGCATAATCGCAGTCATACACAAATGACACTCAAGTTTCTTTTCGACGAAAATCCCTCACAAAATCGTCACGTTTTTATTATTTTCGGACTTTCTTGCATTCGAGGTGTAAGACAGTATTTCAGGGACAGAATTTCCATATTGCACCAATTTTCAACCATTTTAATTATCATTGTCCAATGTCAGTGGCATAGAGTCTTTGTTTCAAGTCCCTACTTGCTCATACTGGATGTTGCACTCCGCGAATAAGGCTATATATCCAGTCTTTTGTTTATAGCTCTCATTTGCTCATAGTAGGTGCTGAACTCCGCGAACAAGGTAAAAGTATACTTCCAAATGGAAAAGCATGCTTCCCTTCGACGCTTGACGATTGTCATCTTRCACGAATACTATGTGTCTCTCGTATCATGGCGGCTCATGTCACGGCGACTCATAATATGTATTTCGAATCAACGCTTTTCCATTTAAGGGAAATACGGATAGCAAGTTCCAATCTGATAGGTACATGGCACTGTCGACAATAGTAGCAGCATAAATATTGATTGATAATGAACCGTAGTGTTGGAGAACGAGAACTACCTCGGCATTATAATAAGAGAGCTGGAGTGTCTGTGAGCTTGTTCCGACAAAGTATCCAACCGGCTGCTAGTGCAGAAGGATACAGTCGATGGGAAGATGGTACCGAACACAAAAACGGAAGATTGGATGGGAAAATGCGGGATTCTTCACTTGGTATACCAGAGAGGATTAAGCGAGGACGGACAGCACGCAAATCACCACCGAACAAAATAAAAAATACATCTACGATGTTGCTGCACAATCAAAATCATCACAGGGAAGACAACTTGTCTTACTACAATGATCATGACGACTCAAACTCTGAATTGATCACTCTTCCTTATTCCTTGACTAATATTTTAGATACAAAGCAGAGATCGTCATCGAAATCTCACTACGATTGCCATAACGGCGCGAATTCAATGTTATCCCTTTCTCCTTATGCAACGCTAACTGCGAAATCGCTGCAACGATTGGAACAACAACGAAAGAAAGGCACGATTGCCACTGCACCAGGACTCAATGACTATCTACTTCTATCATCGCCTACTAGACATCACAAAAGTAATCRTAAATACAGCATTCAATCTTCGCAGTGCAGTGTCATCACCAATAGTTCCATATCGGTTCTATCTTCTGTCTTCAACGCGAACGAGATCGAGGACTGCCTGGAATCGACGGCTTCCAGTGTGGTTTCAGAGAAGACTAGCCAGTCGACTTCCTCCGCGTCTGTCAGCAGCTACGGTTGTAATTCTSTCTCGAAGTCGTGTGATTCGATGAAAAGTGAAACGAAGCAGGTAACGACAGTTCACCAGAGCACCGGAAAAGCAGGCAGCTCCCGGACGATGACCACCGTGAGTTGCTCATCTTCTTCGTTGGAAAGCCATGAGTTGTTTCGTGCAACAAAAACTGCAACTTCCAAACTAAGTACCACACAATCTCACGTATCTGCAAGTACATTGTCATCGTCTTCCTTCACCTCTGTTTATTCTGGCATAAACAAGAACGAGAACAAGCGAATCATAACCAACCAGAGCTCAACAGAAGCGTCAGTGACTCCCATTGCCTTYGACGACGAAACCCCCCCGACAAAAAGTAACAAGAAATTGAACGACCTCCGTGCAAAGCATCGGATGCTTCGCAACAATTGCCATCGAAAGCTAACTGAGAGCCGGGCATCACTTCAATTCACGTACAACCATGAGAACGGCAGCCCGTCGTCGTTGAGCAAACCATTYAATCTGAACGGGAAGGGAAACTCATCCACACTCGTGGATTCGCTTTCTATTGCTGATGACTTTTTGTTGAGTGAGACATCAGCGAACGAGAGGGAAGATCAGCAGAATGGTTCACATTGCCACAGAGGCAATATAATTGTAGAGGATGAGGTTTGTTACCGCGGTCGTGAAGTAATAATGGAGAAGATTGGCGAGGAGGAGAACGACGATCAAGAAGATGAAACTATCCAAAGYCAAAAAGAGCATCAGTATCAAAGTCATGATCGTAATCAAAAGCAACAACTTGAGCGACTTATGGCTAGTATGAGTGACAGCAACGATACCTATGAGAAGCCACAATCGGAGAAATATCTGACCCTGAAAGATGTCTATGGCATGAGCTTTAGCACTGAAGAATCATCGTCGTTAGTATCGTCTTTATATACCACTGCATATGGTTTTGAAGAAGATTGTGGTGACAGTGACATCATATCACAGGGAGGAAGCAACATTAGAGAGCATTATCGAGAATCATCTCTATTGGTCTCGTTGCAATCGGAAGAAAACATTGATTCCAATAACAAATCCATCAATGACAATTATAACTGCAAGCAAACCAGTAACATCGCAACACTGCCGAGAAGAGGAAAGAACAAAATAATGAATAAACCTCTACATTCTTTCAAGCCAACGGATGTCCACCAGAYGGCAATGAAATTCGAGACGCACAGTTATAGTATGAAGGCGAATGCAAATGCAAATGAAAGTCACAAACGACTTCCTCGTTCGGGAAAAATAGGAAGAAGCGCCAAGAAATTTGATGCCAATGAGAATAGTTCAGACCCAAAGTACAATGGTGACCTCAAAACCGAACCCACGAACGAAACCAAAAGAAAAAAGTTGAAGAACAGCACATACAAGCGTCATAGTAAGGGTACTAGAAATGCTCCACACGCATCGCAATCGTTGGTGATGGTAGGAAGAGTCAACAGCAAAAAAAGAGTGCCCAACAGCAAAAAGAAGCTGGAGAAAAGTATGAATAATGGAAGTTACAAGGGATCAATTGTTTCGTCGAAAGATAGCAACCACAATAGTACCATCGGCAATGCTGAGGAGAATCACAATAGTGTAATCCGTGTTAAAAAACAAAAGTCATCGATGAAAGCAGGGGAAAGGGCAAACAACAACAGGAAAATTTTTGAAAGCAACAGCAAGAGCCCATCATCCAAAGTATCGCCCMAAGAAATTCCGTCCTCTCGTATTGGAAGATTAGTCAAAAAGCTTGAAAACAAGGTCATGATGAATACGGAGAAATTCCATAAGGACATGTTTTTAAAGAAGGATTCAAAACTCAAGCGCTCCCCTTACAAGTCCAAAAACAAAAGGAAAAACAAGGTCGTCAATATTAAGGGTCGCAAGGCCAAGGCCAACGACGACGACAACGATGAGCACCAACTTCTCGAAACGTGGAAAAAAGCGGAAAACAATGGAAAGGCTGCAGCCCGTTGTGGTGGCAGTATTAGTACAAGCAACACCACGGATAGCAGTAGAAGTATCGGGTGCAACATGGACAGCACTACCGGTTCCTACTTCATCAATGTCGTCGACGAGAAGGAAGGCGACGGGGAAATAACGATGGATGCTGTGCCCCTAGGACCAGTACATCAAGATTCGAAGCGAAGGACCAAACGAACGGGCGGCAATATACTAAAAAGGCTCTCTCGGTACAAAAACTTTCGGATCAATTCCAGTTTTATCTCACACAGCACGGAGAACTCGTATTCATCAATGAGTTCAACATACGATGACGAGGATCTGGGAATTTAATGTGACTTCAAAATGTCAGTTTCGACGAATGAGATCCAAATGTACCATACAAGATACCTAAAATTTATTTTTCAAGAAATTAGCATGATTTCTRTCACATGAATATTCGAGAAGCGTAATCACCATAAGCATGAAAGTGATATTATTACAATTGAATTTTGTGTATACGTGCGTTTAGAGCAACCATTGATCAACTGTTACGCAATCATGTGAGACACGAGCGAGGAAACCGTTCCTCGAACTGTTAATCGATGTTCATTCCATGGATTGATTTGCAATGTTGCTGTGCAACATACTTCGTTTCCTTCTGTGCATTGTGTTATAATTCTTGAATCAGAGGACGGTTTCTYGTGTTGTCTTGTTGCTGCCGTGCTTGCTGTTCCTGGTTCCCATCGTCGGTAGGGGCTGTTACCAACAGGGAAGAAAAAGAAGCAGCGGGAGACGCCGAAACTTCATCCCCGACTTGGTCGTCGAGCAGCTGTCTCACTGATGCCACAGAGATCTGTTCAGCAGAATGGTACCGTTGGTGTTCTGTGTCGTCCCCATTATCATCACTGTCACTCTCATTMTCGCTACCATCGTCCTCCTCGCTAGACCCACATGAAGTATATGCATCCTCGCTTCCGTCGTCGTCACTCTCTTCTCCAAAATATTCGATCATCATCGCATCGATCCCCAGGGATTCTTCCACCCCGGTCAATAGTTTTGCAAAGCCATCTTCGTCGACCAGCTCCCYGAGTTCAGAAAGGATCGCGTCMAGGCCGTCGTCCTTTCCCGCGTTCTGGACCCAGTAAAGGTACGGATCAACAAAGAGCTTGTTCCCCAGRTAGTGGACCTCGCTCTGGTCGAGAGCGGTGCGGATCCCCAGCAGTGCCTTTACACATCCCCGTGTGCGGTGTGTTGTGAGCAGTGTATGGGTTTCGCGCACGACCCGGAACCCGACGTCGTCGGCGTTTCTCCAATAGGGAAAGACCAGAACGCGCCTCAAAAATGTAGCAACGGTAGATCGGACCGTGCCAGCAATCCCGGAAGAACYACCGCCGTCGTCCCCAGCTGCAGAGTGGTCATCTAGCCAGGACAACTGGCACGACAAGACGGACACYGTCCATGGAGATTCAACGCTGGGATCCCCCATGGTAGTCAGGTGATCGTAGACATAGGCTAGGACCAGTTCGAGGGCCCCACACCACAATCGGTAGTGAGCTAGGTGCTTGGCTAGCAACGGGTAGGGGATAGTAGAGAGCAACAGTTTCTCGCTCTCGGTGAATATTGACGAGGATTTTGTGTCGGTTGTGGTTGTTGGTGATGATTGGCGTTTGTTGTCGGCGTCGTGGATGGCCATGTTGTCCATCTCTTSGATCAGTGACGAAGGCGATGACGATTCCGTTGTTGTAGTTGTCGACGTCGCCTTCAGGGTCATGGCTGATCCAACCCGGTTTGGTGYGYCGATTTTCGTTCTCCACCATGGAACGTAGTCCTTAACCATCGTATATAGATAGTCATCGTTKTTCTCGTTCCCCAGCTCGAGATCCCCCAGGTACCGCTCGAAGTCAAAGCAAGACAACTCGTGTTCTATACGGGCTATACGTCGCTGTTGGATAGTGGACCGCTCCGGATCGATTGACTCTTTTCCCATCATGAGTTGTGGTAACATTTCTTCCGCTAGCCCACTTCGGCAGTACTCCGCAAGGACGTTCCGAAACATGTTGTKRAATCCGTAGCCGTCGTAGCACGAAGCAATAGCATTGTTGTCGTCGCCTGTGTTGTCGTTGACATCTTCTGCGTCRTCTTCGAGGTCTTCGTCAGMGGCAGTTGTGTCCGTTGGCGTCACTGTGGAATCCACCACCGAGTGGAGCCATTGCTTGGGAACTTCCCTAGCCTCGAGCAGTCTTGCTGTGAGTTCCAAATCGGGCCAGTGGTTTTGATCGTCGTCGCCGTCGTCGATTCCTTTCGTTGACGGTGGCTTCTTCCGAAGGGGAACCACAATGGTTTGCTCGGACGGATCGTACCTGGCGGTGGTGGGTTCTTCCTTTGTAGCACGAGTGTCATTGTCATTGTCATCGCCATCGCCATCGTTGTCGTTTGTTCGAGGACCACCTCCTTCGTCCTCGTCCAGAAATCCCCGGGGAAAAAAATCTAGTTTCAACAGATAGGGCTTGGCATAGAAATGAAATTCCGAGTTGTTTTCGCCGGTCAAGGCCACTTCCATCCCACCGTTGGAAGGGCACCCATAGTCGTCGTCGGCGTCTCCMCCAGCAGAACGAGTTGTCAATCGAAAGGAGGGGACCGAAATTTTCACGAAGACGTGTTTCTGGGTTTGTCGCAACGAAAACCGGGGTGTCAGTGGCATATTGYGCGGGTKGTAAGATTCTCTTACTTCGAGTTGCGAGTTAGAATCACTACTTTTCGATTCCAAGTTGGTACGAGCAAGGGTGACGAATACCCATCAGGGATAACGCTCTGTCGTTGGCTCGATTTTTGTGTTCTTTTTCTTTGTTTTCATGTATTTTTTTCGATCTCATYATCCGTTTCGACAAGTAATTGATGTGATTGGCTTGGGCGAGAGCGCAGCGAGAGACGAGTTGATTGTCTTCCTGGGTACCGTAATCGCACGTTCATACCCTCGTACGGTACGGTCTTCTTACGCACAGGTATTCACGGTGTCCTTTTCGAGCAGTTTTGGCGTTAATTTAGAGTTCAGGTTAATCTTATTCAAACTAGTCAAAAAAGTATTCTAACTAGTCAAAAGCGTATTCTAACTTATCAAGATACAAAATTCAGTCTATCTTCACTCCAAATGAAATTCTATGATGAAATCAAAGTAGTGAAAACAAAAGAAAATTGCTTCTTCACACATCATGAATGATGCAAAATGAAATTTCGTAATCCAAATCCTTGTTATTATTAGTAGCCAATCAGATTCCTTGATTCTTATTTTTATCTCGAGTAACTCTAAATTAATGTCAAATGACATTTTGGCCAAAATGAACAGCTGTGTACTACTATGAATAGAAACTAGAAGTAGCAAGGTCATTGCACCAGTACTAGTACCCCAGTTCATACTACCGGTACTAGAACAAATACCAGATACCATGGCCCTCAATTGAAGCAGGGGAGGATATATTATTTCGACCCTGTATTGAAGAAGGTCTGAATTAGTAGGTCTTTTGCAGTTCACTCCTGCAAGTGGAAGTTGAAATGTAATCTTATTACTAAAATAAGAAGGGGCATTTCATTCCCTTAACTTTATATTTTCTTGAAGAAACAGCCATTCATTTTGTAGTACCCCCTACTTTAAAAATAACTTGTTACCAGATTTTTAGTGTTTTCACCCCCTCAGACTCCCTTTTCCATTGGTGACTACTATAACAGTCAAGAAAAAACTATTCTTGTAATTTTTTCTTTTTGATTTCCATGATTCAACAAATTTCAGAAATTCACAGATTGGGCGATTCCTGTTAATCTAGATGGTCTACTTTTTGACATACAGACAGACCAAAGATAGACTACTACTATCTAGTCCAAATTTTTAGCTCGATTCATCCCTGACAGAAAGTCTTAATCTAGACCAGAATCCAAGAATGAAAATCTATTGAACGACTCAACTGATACTGGTCCTTGGGCTACTACTAATCCTCCTCGTAACAGGGATCGCTTATCTCCACCACCAGCACCAGTCCCTCCCTTGGGAGTGCAACCAAAAGTAGAGGGGTTGGGCCTAAAGGCCAGTATTGCAAACTACTTKGAAGAAGAGCTTATTGATCTTGATTAGCTATTTTTAGCACGTTTGCAATTTAATCTAATTACAAGCACAGTACAAGAATAATGAGCTATTTGTCGATGAGCTAGTAGCTGYATTCCTCCCCCTGCGTTACACCWTACTAGTATTTGATGTTTTTGCGTGTTGCTAGTGCAAGTATGGGTTTTCATGCATACCMTTTGTGGGAGTCATTGAAAYSGGAATATACTGTAATGAAGATGAATATCTTAAACACAAAGACACGGCAATGCAATGTCTAATATATTCTGTAATGAAGATAAGAAGGTATGCAAACAATGYATGTGAATGCCGATCAATGCATGTGATTTGAAAGTGAACCACATGTGCTGATTGCACAAAACCATCTAACAAATATGAGTTCTAATCCTGGTTTTCATTGGAGAACAACACGGTCTAACGCTGTCAGAAGCTTGTTGCTGTTTTAAATTGATTCTCACTATTTTGCTTCGACTACTACATGTTAAAACAGTCACTGTTCTTCCAACCTAACCAAACTAACCAACCCTCCCCCCTGCCAYGGTGAATGCTAACACTGTAATCGCATTTAATCATTGCTGCATTGAATTGATGCGTTGAATTGTTGCCGCCTTGAATCGATGTTGGATTTGTTGAATTGATGTTGCGCTGAACTGATCTAACAAGCTGTTGTTTTATATTCAACTTGACCATGGGAATCATCCAAAGAATAGCCAAAAAAGTACTAGTCCAAGACAACATCTAGTAGTGTCTGCCTCCCTTGGCTTTCCCTTCTTTTCCCCACTCCCAGTGGCAGGAGGAAGAAGAACAATCTCATTGTTCTTGTTGACTGAGTATCTGTTGAAAGCTGGAGCAAATAGCTCAAGGAGATCCCTCCTGAAGGCTTTGTGGTCTACTCCACAACAGTTAAGACGTGCTTGGACATCCCCTGAGTGAAAGAGGAAGACAAAGGGGGAGTTGGCATACCTGCAGATTCCTATGCAGGGTGTTCTTCTGTCCTTTCTGTGTTGCTCCTCTTTTGTCTTCTGTTTTCCATCCCATTCATCCACCAAGCAATCTCTGTGCTTGGTTGCCCAGTATATGCAAAGGGTCTCAATGATGCCCATTGTCACATCCCTTTTGTTTGCTGGGAGCAGGCAACTATTGTCTATTGTTTAGGGAAGAGTGGAATTTATGAGTACACAAATTCTGTCTGTTATTTTTATTACACCAGCCGCATGCAGAACACATTAAAAAAATTTCATGTTTTACTTAGTACCCGGGGCGCGCTTTTCCTGTCTTAGTCATTTCTGTTGAGATTTGGAATTCCTTTTAGACTAGAAGAGTGCCTAAAAAATGTCCACTGGGACCCTGTTTTTAATGGTTCCTGTTAAATTAAAAATTATGAAGTACGAAGTAGACCATTTAGACTTTTAGACAATCTAGATTAACRGGAATGACCCATTGTGAGCCTAAAATCACGAGTGAGTGTGAATAAGTGACCATACTCTCACTCTTTACTGCAGACACCAAAGAGCACACGTACATTTACAGGCTGCATTTCTATTCACATTCTTCTAATATTTATCTAATCTAAAAGGTATTTGTTCTGATTCTCTCTTCAAGACTTCATACAAAGTTCGCRTCTAGATCATGGACAAACGCATCGAATCAACATTCAGAGCCCAAATGAAACAATGATATCGATTTCGCGTCGGATGCTACCACACCAAAACGAAACCCTTGGTGATTGTTTTCATTCGCTGGACCAAACCTATCGAACCTCGAATTATGATCCATTACAACAAAATCTAAGGGGCGTATTGAACCATCCGATCAGAAACATAGCTCTCTCTATGGTTTGTCTTCCTGATACCACTTGCCCATTCCATAACAGGCTCCGCGTATTTTGGTTGGCCTCCGTTGCAGACAGCGATGCTCGTGCTCCTTAAACGTGTTTCGTGACAAACCACTCAACCTACYGACGTGTAGGGGTCGAGACAACGTCCGTTTTGGCAAGGTTATTTCGATTCTCAGGCAGTTGTGGAGCCTTGTTTACACTTTCTACAACATGGCTACTATACGCTACCCCTAGCATCGACCCGACAGAGCAAGGCACGGAACCGAGCCGAAGGCATTCGTCTGCTGCGCCCCTTGCTAGGCTACGATCGGAGTGGCACCCACGTGAGTTCGTAGACGTAAGATTTCCAGCGCTCCTTGGCCAACCCCTCCGTGGGCATGTCTAGTTCCCTCATGGTTTCCTCCATGTCCCATCCCTCCCGTCCGCGGTTGCCGCGGCCGGCGGCATCGTCCCCGTTCGGTACCGCCGCCGAGACGCACCGCGCCCGCAGCCGCCAGGATTGCTCTACAGCTTCCTTTCCGCCGCTGGCGTCGGGGCTGGCCTTCGCGTTGGCCTTTGCATTCGCASTCATCGTTTTGGTGGCCGCGGGAACCGCTTGCTCCACAAAGGCCCAGATGGCTTCGTCGCCGACGTTTCCGTGCAGCGAAAACGAAACGACGGCGCGTCCATCGATTGCTAGTGCGTGGACAATTGATTCCAGGAGGACCCCCTGGTATTGCGGATTGTAGAGGCAATCGCTAGCGATCACCAGGTCGTAGCCAACACCGATATCCTCTCCAGAGCACGACGAAAATACTTTGTCGCAGAGGTCGCCCCAGTTGTGCGGGTGAACCTCGAATCGGACGTTGTCGTCACTGTGGGGGTTGCTGCCATCGCTGTTGTCACTGTTTTCGTCGTCCGAATCCAGTTGCATCCCCACCGAGCGCAAGATCTGGTGGATGTTTCGATACTGCTTGGCATCGCTGATACAAACCGTAGCAGGTGGTGCGGACCTTGCAGCTGCGGATTCCGCTGTCTCGGCCTCTAGTTGCCGTTGCCGCTGTCGCTGTCGCTGTCGCTGCTTTAGCTGGGACGCAAGGAACAAACTAGGAAGGGCCGTTCCGGCTCCCAGCTCGAGGCTGCGAAACCCACTGTTTGGTGGTGTTGTGTTTGTGGCAAGCGGTTTGCTGCTGTTCGTTCCAAACCACCAGTTGGTTTTAGGGCTGTTGGCCAGGAACTCKTCCTTCAGATACCGGCAGGTCGCAATGGAGGAGTGCCAAACCTTGTTTCCGTGACCCGTGCTGTTGTCGTCCGCCGCGWAACTCAATGAGCCGGGTGTTCCCTCAATGTTCCGCAGGGTTTGGGTAGTGGTAGTGAACAAAATGTCTTCRTCCTCTTCTTCGTCCCGATCGAAATAGAAGGGATCATTCCTGCGGGCCTCGGCAGCAAGAAGGATTTCCCTCCGATCGGCTTGCTCCTTTTCGTGGARGGGTTTCATCCAATCGTAGGTATCCCCCGTGATGATGCCCCCGTCCAAAAAGTCGGAGAGTTGCTTCTCGTTGCTGCAAGAARAACGAGGAGGATTCATTTTTGAGCTTAGGCTGCTGGTCGAAGTGCTTGCGTTGAGGCTAGGCGAGRTGGGACAAGTCTTTCCGTGCACGATTCTGTTCGTTAGTGTRCCGATAAGATGCCAGGCATGCAGCACAACGCAAAAACGATGMGAAGAAATGARTGGGGTGGAGTGTGATGGTTCGTTTTTTTCTGCGCGTTGGGAAAATGCCAAAATGCGATCAGTATCTACGTACGTGAGTGAGTTGAGAGTTGAATGGATGCACTTATTGCTGTTAATCACTATTAACTCGTGATTCACCACGTGCTAGTGGTGGTATTGTGATCTAGTGACTAATTTGACTCAAAATTATACTGATGTAGTAGATTTTGAAATGGATCTAGATCCTTGCAAGTGGAGCAAAATGTTGGGTTGATTTTGGTGGTGGATATTGTTGTCGCTTTATTCTCACCACTAAAAGGGGAGCATGGTTGGGTGCTGGTGGGTAGTACTACTACTAGTAGTAGTACTAGTACTAGTAACACCAGCAGGCAAAAGTCCGCATCATAGCATTGGTGGCAAGATGTATGATACAGTCATACATTTTGGGCTAAGTCTTTCCCAAGTAAAATATGTCAAGCACACCTACTGACATCAAGAAATCTTGTCCAAATCCACCATTTTTTCTATGGAAATTTTGTCTTGATGTCAGTCRATGTCTCGGAAATATATTMTTGATGAAGCAACATATTTACCTAAAATACTATCCAATGTTGCACCAATACTGCTTGGCCAAATACTGCTCTTCCTTCATGATGTTGATAGCAGTAAGGCAACTTGTTGTCAAATGTTGATTTGGTTGCTTTGTTGTTGTCTATTGCTTGTTTGTTGTCGGTTGCTGATTTGGTTGCTGGTTCTCATGATCCATCTCCTCCTCCTCCTCCTCCTTACAATTCATCTTGCACATCTCACTGTAGTCAGCTGAATCAAAAGAGAAGCTTTGGTCCATGTAGAAAGGATGTCCCCACGCATCAAAGGCAAACTCTTTAGCACACTGTATGCAAGGCTTGTAGTTCTTGTTTCTTTCCCTTTTCATTACAGACCTGTAGTATATCTCAAAGTACCACTCATGTTTATCACCAATGGTCATCGATGGAGGCAACAGTGGCTTTCTGAATCAAGCTAACTCAATTGCCTTTGCCATATCTTTCTTTTTAAAGCAGGTCTTCTTTAAACAACCAGCACAGGTCTCATTCAGCTTCTTGTTGTGTGGTGTTGGCTTCCGGTCCCATTTCCAATCCTCCACCCACTTCCAGTCTTGATTCAATACAAATTGGACCTGTGGTGAGGGATCATTGATAATTTCTGGTGGAGGGGGCTCAGCAGGAGCTTGAGGGGGAGGTACAGAGGTGTCCATTACAATCTGTATCTTCCATCCAAGGCCTGGATCAATTTGTTGTTGCTTTATTTACTGTGCTGCTTCCCTTGCCTTTGTTGCTGGGTGCCATTTCATCTTTATGTTGCCCTTTACAATTGCAAGCTTCCAGTTTGGCATCCAGTGCTTGGAAGCACAGGCCTTGGGTCCTTYGTAAACAAGCATTCTGGCTTGAAGCCTTGCCTTCTTTGTTTTTTCTCTTCTCCTATGTAACTTCATTCTTTGCTTTGGATGGCAACCAAACAAGATTGCTAGGCATCGTKGAGGGACTGAGTCTGGAGAGCTGTYGGCATATTGATATRCATCCTTATGGGGGTCTTCAACTAGAAARTCTGGTGTTTTTAGTATTCAATGTTGCTCATCTTGCTTGTTTTGCTGCTGTTGCTRTTTTTGCTTGCTTACTCTGGTATCCTCCATTTTTAGCAGGGSTGGTCTCCCTGACAGGGTGTATTGTTCTCAATCAATTTGAAGAGAAAGAAATGGGATTGATGCATTGYGTTAACGCATGGAGAAATGCATAAACTGGAGACAGAACAAATATATSRAGGAGGTGTCATGCCTGTTTCTGAGATCACACACAATTAATGGCCTAAGTTTGTGAGCAGTTTGTCCCATRTGGGACTCAAATSCATTGAGTTGAAGCAGTCTTAACAAGGTWATTAGATGGACAGTTATCCCCGCACCATGTAATTTAATATAACTGTTTCAGTCTTGAACTGACAGTAATAACTTTTTCCAYAACGGACGCATAAAGACAAGAAGCATATAGTYAAAATGATAATTCAAAGAGCTTTCTAATGCTGTGGGAGAGTAGGCAGTCTGATAAGTATTSACCRATAAAGGTGTATGAATATGAAGAATTAAAAATGTACAATTCATGCGGCCAGAATATCTCCACCAAMGCTATACRATAGTTTGGTTTCAGGCGTAGTATCTGTGTGTTCATAGAATTTTKTTTTGCCAGTTGGTTTGCTCAGCAAGTTGGTACTGTAGATCTTCTCATCAGAATCTGTTTTAATAGAGTTAATATGCTCATCATCAGTCCTCTGTAGGACRATAACAAAGTACAGTTATGGTTGCAGTGGTCCCTSGTCAGAAAATRTCAAAATTGAACAAACAATTGCTGACCAGAAATTTTCAAGGGTACATTGAATCCAATTTCTTTTGGGACATGAAATTGTTGATGAACAAAAAGATCARCAAATATGTGTGTCAACAGGTGATCAAGGAAGGTTGTGTTAGCAGCTCTCCAGGGTTCAGTGGAGATGATGAAGTTAGTCTGTACCTGGATAGCACCCTTTTCCTGCAAGTGCTCAACAAAATACGACACAACACTCAGATTTATGCCAGAAAAAAATGACCTGATGAGCCATCTTCTACCATAACAGTCTAACCATTGAAATGTTTAATTTCCTTTCTTGATCTGTAACTGATGACAGTGAAAATGGAAAAGTCCCAGATGGATTTCCAGGAACAGTGGGGATTTCTGAATGGGACATGAAGGATCATAATGAGAAGAAGATTCTAGACCCACACTGCAGGGCAAGTGTACCCAAAATGATTTAATTGCAGGAATGGTGGAGACTTCATGGAAGAAGTTTAGTATTCTGTAAAAGCATTTGTAGAATTCATTCATCATACATAGTTGGTCTCTAGCCACAACAGCTGGGGATAGAATTGCCCACGCAAATGGCCCATGCTWTGGCATTGAAAGTTCTCTTCAAGCTGAGGCTACAGGATTAATATCAGTGAGTCTCTTTATAACCCTGCTAGTTTCGCACCTACGCCACCACACCCACAAGAATAGTGAAGATGASGCAAGTTCCTCCAGCTCATCATCCTCTTCMGACACTTAGCTTATTTGCCCTACATGGGTTACTTTTATCAGYGACAGCAAGGCACTCATCATTCGACTCCAATCCAGATGTGAATATACAGAGGTCTATGCAAATGCTACCCTAGCACCAGAATTTGACTTGATTGAACAGATTTTTCAAACCCTTCAGATTCCTTTCCTCACATACTCCTTTTCTTGGGTGAAAGGCCATCAGAATGACACCATTGCCTTTGATTGCCTCCCTCTGACAGCTCAACTGAATGTCAAGGCTGATGGTTACRCCGGAGATTTTCAAGCCTGGATGACTACACAAAATTTTATCACACCAGTGCTCCCTTCTTGCCCAGAACGAGTCTTGTTCCGTCACCAGCCAATATAAGAGAGCTCTCACATATTCTTGTTTAATCTCCCAATATCACACATATTTGAGAGATAGGAACCAGTGGCCCTGACAATTTATTGCTGATATTGCCTGGGAGTCTCTGAGCATTGCCATCCACCGTATCTCCAGGGACGTCTTGGTCACTAAATGTTGCAACCATATCCTTCCCACTGCCACTGTTCTCAAATGGTGGAATTACCAACAACAGGATACTTGTTGTCTTTGCCAGTCGCCTGAAGATTCTGAGTATCCCTTTCACTGTTCCCACCCATCCCACATTGGATGGCAAAGACAGACTATCACCTCTCTACAACAACACATGTCCACACTTGGCTTCCAACCAATTGCCATTRACACTCTTGCTACATGTCTTGCCAAATGGTTAGACACTGGTGGCACTGTTTCTCCAGAGAAATATCCTGTATCCCTTCATCYGGTTATTCATTTCCAGCAGAGTGAGAGTGGTTGGCACCACATGGTTTACTGATCTTGATCTTCATTCCAGCTCTTAGTACTCCCCACTCTTGTTGGGGGGTTATCTTGTGGAATTCTTTCTTACCTCCCATATATCATTATGGGAACAGCAAAATAAAGATCTTCATGGCTACACAATTTCCCAGAAGAAGCAAGCAAAGCATTGACAAAGAGTGGTGATGAAAGTTTGGACCTTATTTGCATTGAAATCTCAGACCTGTCCATCCCATGCCCACCTATTCCTGGAAAATATGGAAGCCTTCTTATTGCAGACCCCTACCTCCATGCTCTCATATTACCATCGAGCCCAAGAGAAAACAATTCTGGCGAGTGTCACTCACCAAGCTACAAGTGCTTTGGTCTCCAACACCCGCCCTATTACCCAGTACTTTACACCGTTGCCTCATAGTAAACAATCTCCAGAGAGTGTCACACAAGCCCTGCTGGCTGGTCTTTGACACATACTCCAAAAAGAAACGACACAAACAGCCAGTTGTGCCAGATACTTCTCTGGCTCCTCCTGTCAATTCTTCCAGTTTACTCCAAACCAAGCTACAACAATTCTTTTAAATCCAGCAGAAAAMCCCCTGGTCCCACTTCCATCAAGAGGACTCCTCAGAGGGAAGTGCTGCCCCTTGGAGCAGCTAGAAGCATACTTTCCACCAAAAGCTATGGTTCTGGCCATCTTAGTGCCTCTTCTAGTTCACAAGGTAAAATATAATATTAAGATTTTTTCATTCATCATACATACTAGTAATAATATGGTTACTAGTCATGAAATTTCTGATCTGTGAGGTAGTGATGGAGCCCGACTATTCCATACATTTGATACCATATGGTAGCGGAATCATTGTTCCACAATATCAATTCCACCAAGGTTATTTGAGAGTAATAATATTTACATGTGTAAATCTTGAATTTCAATTCCAAGAGTCGTGGTCAGAGGTTACTGTGATTGGAACTGTTGAGGTTGTGTATCACAACCCCCCCAAAGTAAAAAATATGGAGCAGTGGTTGAGCAAGTGTGGGATGAAATACCAGCATAATAAATTTTGTGTGCAGAGTGAAACACATTGTGACCCAAAAACAATAACAAAAAGGGGTTCCACAGTACTAAGCTTGATAGTTATAACTTCACCATG